CCCAGTACACAACCTGTGAGCAGGGGGGCTCACAGGGGGACTACCAGCTTGTGTCAAACCAAAAGAGGGGAGTGACTGGGTGGCAGCAAAGGGCAGGAGTTGGCGGTGTAGGTCGGAGATGGCGGTACAGAGTGTAACCAAGAGTTTCTCAACATGACTGGTAAATTCTTGGAAGAGGGACATGATCTGTGTCATGTCACTGGAGAGGGGTTGTGGGGGGGCACTGGTGGCGGCACAAGGCTTGACAGCGTCAGGGAAGAGACGGGGTTGTGGGGGGGCACTGGTGGCGGCACAAGGCTTGACTGCGTCAGAGTAGTGACGGGGTTGTGGGGGGAAACTGGTGGGAACACGAGGCTTGATAGCGTCAGAGTAGAGACGGGGAGGAGGGTCAGTAGTGGTTGAGTTAGGGAATGGTAGGTGCTGTTGTGGTGCAGCCTGGTGAAGCCAGGCAGGGGCAGGTGACCCAGTAGACTGAGGGGGGCGTTGTGGTAGACGCAGTCCTTGGGGAGGCCTCTCCCCTGAGACAGAAGGGCGACTGGGGCACTGCCGTGAGTCAGCATTGTGCCGGCCGCCACAGTTACAGCACCTGGGCTCAACTACATAGCCCACACCACCCCTATTAAGGTGGTCTTTGATTTTCTGGGCACAGGCGGCGGAGTTGTGGTTACGTGAGCAGAAGCGACATCTAGGACGATCACGTCGGCAGCAGGCAGTGAAGGTGTGACCCCAATGAGAGCAGATAACACAAAATGCAGGCCCAGGATGATAGGGCTCTGCATAAAGTGGTGGAAGGATTGGATGGGCTTCCACAGTGGTTGGACATACCCTTCCCTTCCACTTGACAATAACAGCAGCTTGTGGAGTGTGTCCCCGGTAATGTCGACGTATACTGAGTATATTAGAATTAAAGTCACGTGCATCTTCGATGTCAGCGTATAGGGGGAATCGTTTCACTAGGATGTGGCAACATTCATCAGCGTCTGCTGGGGGGGCCACTAGGACAACCCCGTCAAAGCCAACAGTACTAAGGGTTTTATAGACTTCAGGAGTCTGACACTTAATAAAGTTCCGGTTCTTACCCTGTCGGAATTGAATGTTGGGACCATGCTGTCTGCAGTACTTCATCATCCAATTAAACCGATCCTCGACAGATTTTAATGAGTCCTTGGGAAAGTGGAGATTCAGCTTACTTGTTTGTTTGGCAGAGGGCAGGGTGATAGGGTCCATGGCATTGCTGTTTCCACTGTGGCTAGTGTTTCCCATAGAAACATTACCGTCACTGTCATAATCACTGGGGTCTGACTCTTGAAGGGTGTTGGATTCAGTCAACACCTGCTGTGTTTTATTCCCAGTTGAATTCTTTCTGCTTCCTTCTGTGTGTGTCGTCCTTTTCTTCCTACCACTCATGATCTCATCACTGTCACTTCCTTCAATTTTCTTCGCCTCCTCTTCTTTTCTTTCTTACTAATCACTTCTTGAAAATTGTCTATCACTGCTATTGTTGTTGGCCGCGGATTGTCTGCTTCTGATTCACTACTTGAAAGCCTCAGGTCGTCTTCTAAGTTGTTCAGTAGGGCAATCTTTTCTACTTTAGCCAAAGCCTTCATAGGTTTCTGCCCACCACTCTCCCCAGGCATTGTGCAATGCTTGTGTTCGGTCACAGGCGAGATGGAGAGGCAACGACGTCACTACCACGTCATTCAACGTCACGCTCTTCGCACTGCGCATGCGCAGATACGAAAATAACCGACCAGATGGTCCAGGCAGGAAGTCCAGATATTTTATCTAAAATATTGTCTAAGTCCAACAACTATAAATTTCACAAGCGACACTGTGCTTACAACTGGGCTCCACTTTAGTTCTCTAAACAGACTGAAGGTAGTCGTCTCACTAAATTCATTAGAATTGGGAATTGTAGGGAGAGCTCACTCACAGCCTTTGTTGACGTTTCACGGTGCGCATGTCGAATGCGAAGTAACAGACTGAAGTTGACACCAGGCAGGCTCGTCTGCGCAGCCCTGCGGAGTTGGTGGAGCTGATGCTTCTACACAGCATTAAACTGATTCATTTAACACATACTTATTACACATTCATATATAATACATATTCGTGCTTCAGAGGCTGCTAAAACTCTACCCCGACACTGTGAGAACCTAATCCGCAATATTTACTCCTTTTCCCACGGTGTTAAGAGGAAGCATGAATCGAAAGACTTTAATTTTTTGTGAAAGACACAATCCATGCCTGCCAGATTCGCTAGTTGTTTTTTCACCACACGGTTGAAAGGGTCTAAGATCAGTCTCAACCACAGAAAATGTATTTCACCCTAAAAGAAAGAGAAGAAAGGTTGAAGTCAGTGGAACTAACTGTGAAAGACCCGATAGACCCATCTGCGTTTCTATATTTCAACTTCTTAAACTTCATTTTGTCGACATTCAATAAAATTAGTTTGCTTTTCGAGAGAGACTCCAGCAAACTCCATTAAAACATCACTCAATTGTATAAGAATGTATCAAGATTTATTTTTTCGTCTAGAACTGGTGCAAAAATCACAGGTGATGACTTTTGATCCCTGTATTGAAAGCAACCACTTATCAACTAATTTTATTTACTTGGGGTTTGCTGTAGGTCGGGTGCTTCATACTCACCGACTGTGAGCTCTTTCAAGACCAGACTTGACCAACACTGGAGCAGGTACAGATACATTCAGGAATCAGTACTTGCCAACAGTACGTTAGCCCAAGAGGCTAACGAGCCGATCAGTGGCGAGAAGGCTAAAAACTATAAGATTGAACAAATTGTTTTCCAGATTAGGTTATAGAAGAGGAATCATAACTCATATTAAATATGCATTTCCCCAAACTTTCATTATCACCACTGTATTCATTATGAAAAACTACAATACAAAATTATTTTTCATGTTTAAATCGTTTGCCATTGTTTGGGGAGTAATTACCCATATAGAGACAAGTGACGACTGATAAAGATTCATACGATATCTAATTAATAAAAGGCATACGGTTAAAAAATGGAAATAAATAGTAAAGTATGAAATTTAAGTTTAAACTTGCTATGTAACATAAGGCGAATCACTAGAAAAAAAATATTAGTTACGCCAAGAATACCTTTTCTAAATATCAGGATCAACCAGAGAAAACGTGTAGAATTGTGACGCAAAGCACTCGCTCAGTACTT